GCAAGATTAAAAAAATGTAGACAACCATATTTTTTAGATAGTAGATAACATTGAAGTCATTCGTAATTTCAATAAAAACAAGTTACAATTGTTTCTGACATTGATTTATCAACCAAAAACATAGCTTTAGCCTTTACAAGATGATGTCGTCATTTCAATAAATCTTCATACGGTTATGTGCATTTTAAAAAAAAATTGTATGATTTCCTCTTGACAATACGTAACACGCTTTTAAAATCGTAGTAACACTCACCACCTAATTAGGGTGATTAGTAAATTCAAACTCTAATCTATTAAATTATGACCAATAGCATCCTATATACCTTATATTCTAGGTAACCAACTTTTTTGTGGCTATATATGTAACATGTTCCTTCTCCACCAAGAACTATAGCGTGGCCGTTTGGCAGATGACACTGATGGTGGAACATAACCCTAGTCAATTTTTTTACACAATATGTACAACCTTAATTATATGCATGCTTGCAGTGAAAGAAAGAAAAAAAACAAATATGGAAATATGGTCAAGTGTCTGTACGTGTGTGTGTGTGTGTGTGTGTGTGTAGCTGTCATTCATACTGGCTTTGCATAAGACAATATTGTTGTTGTAAATTTTGGCATATATAATGACTGTATATGTATAAATTCAATTTGAAATAAAGGAGTTCTTCCATGTGCTCATGAGTCTGAATCTCACATGCACATGCCTGATTTCATCTTACGGCGTGAATTCTGAGAGTGCATAGTGTATATATATGGAATATGATACTATTAATGCACTGTTAATTTTCTTATTTCCGCCAATATTATACGGAAAAGGATGATCACACTGTTTTTCCTTGTTACACATTCTTGATTGATTCTGTTGATTGTTTTTATTTGATTTTTCTAATTTAATGGCTATAAATAAAAAAAAGATACACATGTAGACAGAAAAGGGGTATATAGTAACTTCTGAGACTAGAGACTTCCTACCAAGGTAATTTGATTGAAGCCCTAGGTTTTTAATTAATATTATTTGGCTCCAATGATTTGTAAGAGAATGAACAGCTGAGCGATCTTCAAACTTAATGGCTAAACAATGCTTATGAATGGCTAAAAGATCTTCAAATTGAATGAAATTTTGCAAATATGATCTTTAGATGATGTAAAAGAAATGAATAGTTTTGATTATGATGTTCGTACACTAAAGATACGTTAATCATAAGTGGAGGGAGGGGTTGCGAAAGAGAACAAGTAGGTTCTCCCATGGAGGAACACAAGCATTATCCTAAGTTAAAACCCAACACTTTCTTACCTTAATAAAGATAGAAATAGCCTAATGTTTTATCAATATGAAGAAACTACTGGTAGTTTAAATGGATCTAAACAACTTGCATGTAATGCGAACAAGCAAAAGCTACATACATTCTCATAATTATATACTCAGACCCTGATATAGCTATTGCCTGTTGGCCTGCGACTTCAAATTTTCAAGCAAAAGTTACATAGGTTCTGAAAATTTGTACAATTTGGGAAAGTATATTGTTTTTGCTCTTTTGATTGACAAGTAGCTTTAAAGAACCATATGCATGCAATAGTATCACAATTTTCTTTTTCAATGTTCTATAGGATGATATTATTTTTCAGAAGTATATATGTTGGCGGACAAACATATGGCTTAATGATGTTCTAATCTTTTGCTAGAATAATCTCTTAATGATGTTCTAACATACAGACGGTTCGGATCTTTGAACTCATTACTGTTTGAACTCCTTAAAAACGTGTAACCTAAATTGTGTAAAATGAGTGTGCCATGAATCTACCCCCATTCCATGTGTCTATTTTAATTATTTTACTTCGTTTCTTTTTGTGTGTCGTGTGTCAATAGTCGTCGACTAATTGAGTAAAGAAGTATTGCATTCACACAGTAAACCTTTTGCATTGTCTGTCTGTTATCAGTTGCTTTCATGGTCGATTTGTGGTCCTGCAGGATTTCACTTCTCTGATTACCCAAATGTTCTCGTCGAGGCAAATCCTTCACATGCATGGCAGCATCTCTCCTGTGAAATGTGGTCTTTGAGATTTCGGGAATCCTATACGAAATTTATAAAAATACCATTTTTCTTAAGATAGTTTTCCGAAAAAACGTAGAACAATGGGTTAATACTCGAGAAAATAACTAAAATCAAAATAAACTTTAGGACTCACTAATTGTAAGTTTATAAATGTTATTAAATAACAAGTAAAAAGAGCTACAAATATATTCTTCACTAAATAATAAAAAACAATTCAATCTTAAGCAACCAAACAAGAGCAAAAGCTTCAAAACTCTAACTTCAAATTTTTGCTTGAATATATAATATTTTTATATAATAATAAAATTGAAAAAAAAAATCATTTTTAGGGTGTTATTACCAAATATCTCATTATGCACTCCAAATTTGTATATTTAGAAAGAAAGAAATTTTACACTAATAAAGAGTGCACAATGAGATTTATCGTGCTAATAAAAGCAAAATTTTAATATACATCACTATTACATATAAAAATTAGATAACAAATTTTTTTTATGGCCTCTTTAAATTTGGGCCCTGCGATTGTACATTTCACTCCCACCTCTAGATAGGCAAATGCAATTACCTTTGACATATATAGAATATGCTACAGCTTAATTATATGGCATAGTTAGGAAGTTATTATAACTAATTAGGGTTTAGGGTAAAAATAGGATACAAATATATATATAGAGGACTCTTTGAGATTGAGATTTTATGTTAACAATTTGATTCAATTTTATATTGGGATACTTAAAAAATATAAAAAATAAAATAAAGAGGGGAACAACGGGTGGCAAGCCACAATCACTCCTTATGGGCCCGGAAAGGCTATGGCGAATTTCACCCTACTCGTGGCCACAGTCAAGCATACTTGTATATTGGGATACTTTTGAAGATATTATGTAGGCTTAGGGTTTTCTTTTAAGAATTTGATTCATAATTAGGTCTTTATATACATAGCTCTTGTAATTCAGTGGATGAGAATGAAGTGTTGACAATATGTAGTCGTTTTATTATGCAGTTATCTTAGCAATCTGAAGTATTCTATGTTCCTTTAGAGCAAGTCCACCCATTTTAGGAGGCAATGGCAACAAAATTGTTCTTACTATTCACTATGAACAGTAATTGCTCTTGTGCAAGTCCACACACTTGTAAGGGGTGAGGGCAAGCACCATCCACAAATAAATATTTTCAATTTTTTATGGTTGCAAGTTTGTTCCACAAAAATAAAATGATTGTCTAATTTCAATAATATATTTCATATACAACGAATGAAGAAGATGGTTGGGTATTTATAAAAAAAAATTAAAAAAAATGTATATTTTTGGGTACTTTTTTTAATTTTTTATGTTAAAATAATAATAGCCGTTGAATTTCAAAATTATTTACATTGGATGCCCCATATTGCTCCATGTGGCATGTATTTTTTTTTTTTACCATTGAAAATCCAATAGTCCAAATCAAATGACTGTTGAAAATCCAACGGCTCAACTTGGAGGGAAAATGAGCGATTTGGCTTTGGGCTATGCCGTGGTGGCCTCACTCACTCAATTCCTGTAGCCAACAGGCGCAAGCCCATGCAGAAGTTGCAGGGGTAGCTAAAAAATGTCCTTCATTTTTTGCACCGGTAGACCACCTTTTTGGGGGCTAAGGACAATTCAATCCAGTTGCCCTATCAATTGGATTACCGAGGGACTTGCTATTATGTCAAAACAAGAATCAAAATTGCAATTAGTTTTCTCTTCTTTTCACTTTCTTGGATTTGTTAACACAATTTGAAGAAATATGGAACATTCATGTCTAGAAACTACTCTTTTAGTCCTTTCCCCGAAAGAGAAAAAAAAAATACTTGTATAGTTCTTAACCATTAGAGTACGTAAACACCTATTTTTAAAGGGTAATGCTAGGGATACTAAATTTATAAATCAAATCTGTAACCAAATGATGAAGTTGTAGATGATTGGACTATTACTTAAGTGTCGATTAACGTGCTTATTATGCAAAATCCGACAGAAAATGGATGCAGTGGCGGATATAATAAGCGACATAATTGCCAGCGTCAGGAAATGAATTTTTCGACAAAAAATACTCTAAAACCGACAGAACTTGTGTCGGATATAACCAACATAAAGTAAATAAAGAATAAATAAGAGGATTTTTCTGTCGGATATAACCGATAGAAAATATATATAACTGACAGAACTTGTGTCGGTTATAACCGACAATAAATATTAATAAAAAATTACTAAAGCATTGTTCTGTCGGTTAAAACCGACATCAAATATATTAATAATAAAAAAAAGGACATTAGAGCAGAACCCTTTTTCTCGTTGACCATTCTTCTCCCCTTCTACTCAAAATCAGAATCTGCAGAAAAACAGAAGAGAAAAGCCAACCTTCTTCCCAACACAACACAACAATCCATCCCAAAAAAAAACAACAGAGAAAACAGAAACCTCTCATACAATGGACAAAAACAAAGGAAAACAGAAACAACAATCAACCCTAAAAACAGAAACCTTCTTCCTCATCTTGACTTGTCATCAGTTTTTCTCTCTAGATGGTTCAGTCCCAGATTCCTATATAAAGAGACTCGTCATCGGAACTCATTGATACACCGGATATCTCCCCAAAGAAATCAATCTCTTGCCGCACTTTGTAATCTACCTCTGCTATATATATGCACAAAATATGCAGGTTCCGCGACTACCATAAACCGACCATCTGATGAAATTGAACAGTACTTCGTTAAAGTTCCCAAATGCAAACACATCATTCAAAATACGCACTCAAATGCAAACACAGAGCAACACATTTCAACTAATATCAATAGATTTAAGGTAAGAATAGAATACATGTTTCCTTTTAAATGAAAATCCACTTGTGAGCTTCCATAACTTTAAAAGTTCAGTTGAAAAAGAAAAAGAAAGGAAGTAAATACCTGCAACACTTCCTTTTGTCGAGAGGCTTTCCACTACCGAAATTGTTCTGCTTCTTGTTTTATCCTTTGTTGCAGTTGAACCTATTATTTAAAAAAAAAAATAAATAAAATATATATATATATATATATATATAATATCAGTAGATGCAGAGAAAATATTAGCCTTAATAGGAAAAAAATATGACTGATGAGTTTAAACCTTCTGTGCCTTTATAGACTGGATTTCATCTTGCAGCCGCTTTGCTGCTTCATCACTTTTTTGTTTTTGCTTCAAAAGTTGAACCTGGCTCTATTGTTTCTTCTTAAGATCCAAAATCTGGTATAAAAACATCGAAAAAGACACCACAATTGGATTACAAAGAAGTCCACTGCTTATCCAAAGAGAAATAGCGATCCAGTCGTAAGAAGAAATATGGTTACCTGTCCCTCAAGTGCCTTTAACTTCTGGGTATGAACATCTTGAAACTTTTGTGGTTGTCCATCACCAGCAGAAAGATTTTCAACTTCACCGAGCAAACGGTCCCTATCTTGTTGCAGTACGAAACAAGAACAAACTTGAATATCGGTTCCCTCAATAATAAGACCATCAAGTACAAATGTTCATTAATGTCGGTTATAACCGACATAAACATTTTTAAAATACAAACCGTCAGAAAATTTCACCTACTGTCGGTTATAACCGACAGAAAAAAATATGGACGCCAAAATACCCCCAAAATTCTCTTCCAAAATTTTAAATTCCCTCCCAAAATTTTACCCCCCCCCAAAAATTTTGGTACGATTTTAAAAAATAAAATAATAATTGTTTGGTTAAATGGGAAAATTTAAATTCACATTCTTATTTTTGTTAATCCATCGATTAAAATCCTATTTTCAATTTTTTATTAAGGTCCTTGAGGATTAATAACATCATTAATTATTTAAATAATAAAATATTTTTATTTTTAAATATATTCCTTTAGTGTTAAAAATGTTATAATTAGTATATTTATATTTATGGCTAAATTTTTTATTATATATTTTTATTTTTAGTTTGTACCTATTTTTCATTTGCAAATATTTTTTAATTTGTACCAATTTTCTTTTCATTTTTAATTTGTACCCATATATTAGTTTCTTTTTGTGCCCATATTTTTGTACCCATATGTATACCGTCACGTAACATTGTATATTTAATCAATGATAGAAAAATTACACATGGTATATTTATGTTTTATGCCTAAACTTTGTATCATATACTTATATTTTTAGTTTGTACCCACTTTTAATGTGCAACATTTTTTTTTAATTTGTAGTATTTTCTTCTTAGTTTTATTTTGTACCCATGTATTAATTTATTTTAGCGCCTATATTTTTAAAAATTCATTTGTACTTATAATTTTTAATGTTTTATATGTACCCTAATTTATTTATAATGTACCCATTCTTCCTTATTAATGTACCACTTTGTTATATGTGAAATGTACCAATTTTTTTGTAAAATGTACCAATTTTGTAAAACGATCCACTACCGTTTTGACGCAATATGCATTCTACGAAACTTTTTTCAACGATCTAACCGTCAAACTTATTTTTACACACTCCAAGATTACATACGTAAAAAATTGTAAAAAAAAAACATTCAGATATTACGTAACAAAACAAAAGTTTTCGACGGTTATAAACGAAAAATCACAATTTAACGGTTATTTTAGCTCCGATTTTGATGATTTTTTACAGCTACACTTCTCAACCCTATAAGAATGTAATGAATACATTTGATCTTTAATTTAAAATATTTACACTAGTTATACTTAATAGAAGTATAATATTAACTTTAAGTGTTTGTTTAATCTACCGTTTTGACACAATATGCATTCTACGAAACTTTTTTCAACGATTCAACCGTCAAACTTATTTGTACACACTCCGAGATTACATAGGTAAAAAATTGTAAAAACCAAGCATTTAGAGATTACGTAACGGAATATAAGTTTTTGACGGTTAGAAACAAAAAATCACAATTTAACAGCTATTTTAGCTCCGATTTTGATGATTTTTTATAGCTACACTCCTCGACCCTATAAGAATGTAATGAATAAATTTGATCTTTAATTTAAAATATTTAAACTAGTGAATACCACAAAATCTTATTTTATACTTGATGGGGAAGTATAACTTTAACTCTAAGTGTTTGTTTAATCTACCATTTTGATGTGATACGCATGCTACGAAACGTTTTTCAACGATCCAACCGTCAAACTTGTTTGTACACACTCCGAGATCACATACGTAAAAAATCGCAAAAAACAAACATTCAGATATTAGGTAACGGAACAAAAGTTTTCGATGGTTATAAACGAAAAATCACAATTTAACGGTTATTTTAGCTCCGATTTTGATGATTTTTTACAGCTACACTCCTCGACCCTATAAGAATGCAATGAATGAATTCGATCTTCAATTTAAAATATTTACACTAGTAGATAAATCTTATTTTATACTTATAACATTAACTCTGAAATGTTTGTTAAATCTATCAATTTGACAGGATATGCATTCTACGAAACTAGTTTCAACGATCCAACCGTCAAATAGGTTTGTTTATACTCTGAGATAGCATGTGTAAAAAATCGCAAAAAAAAAAAAAAAAAACATTCAAAGAACCGTCCAAAATTTTGCTTTGTTCGTGTCGGTTATATCCGATAGGGCCATGAGTGAAAAAAAAATATTTAAAACATGTGTTTATTTATTTTTAATCAACATAACATTTTAAAATAATAAAATCAGATATGATAGAGTACACCAGATGTTCATGTATGTTTATGTGCCAGACAATGTGCTTTGTGATGCTTTGAAAAAAAATTGTTTGAATTTCTTTGTATCTTGTTGCTTGCCTATGAGGGAGCATAATCCTTATTACAAAAATGAAAGAGCTTCATATTGTAGTATGTTGTTATTATTCTCTCAGAAAATTTATGGCTCGTGAGAATTGGGTTCATTAGACTTTAGAGTCATGAAAAAAAATATATTTAAAAAATGTGTTTATTTATTATTTTTAATCAATGTAACATTTTAAAATAATAAAATTTTTATTTCTGTCGGTTATAACCGCCAAAATACTAAAATAATAACCGCCATAAAGTAAAATAATAAAATAGTCAATTTCTGTCGGTTATAACCACCACAATTAACTTAAAAACCGTCATAAACTATCAAAAATATTTAAAAAAAAGGATTAAAAATTAATGTCAGTTATAACCGACAGGATATTTTTATATCCGCCAGGAATTTATGTCGAATATAATCGACATGATTTTTCTAATATCTGCCACTAATTAAATGATGTGTCGGATATAATTTATCCGACATAATGTTTTTAATATCCGCCACCATCATCTGCCACCTAAAGCTAATATTGTAGTAATTAGACAACATTTAACAATAATAGGCCTAGAATAGGACAAAGACTGATTGGGCTACCCGAACAAACCCATTCAATTTGTTTTCTGTTTTTACTTGTTGGGTGGGTTTGAAATTTTTTTGGTTTATCTCATATGTAAAAAGTCTGCTATCCACAATCTTAGCTTGTTTATCCCTTTTTTTTCCTCCTTCATTGAAAGGAAGGAATTGAAGTCGTGACTTCGGATCAAGGTATTAAATATTGATAATATCAGAAATATCGGTAGTTCAAAAACACGGAAATTTCGATGGAAATATCGGGATATTATCGATATAGATAAAAATTGAATAAAAACCACGGAATTTGTAAGAAAAACTTAGAAATTTTTTAAAACTTTGCAGGATGTTTATTTAGTTAATTATCTATTAGTTTATCACAAAAATTGGAAGGAAATGCATTGCATGATAGATATAACTTATTTAAGTTGATTATATAGCGAGCTGACAAACATTGTAAGTGTAGAAAATATGTAGTAATTAATGAAAGAAGTTTAAACACACCATAATCATTTATATATAATGAATTAGTACAATATTTTACACTTTATACATTGTATGGTAAAATACATGAGTGACTTAGCAAGATCTAAAATATCGATGATATCGGAAATATCGGTAGTCCAAAAACACGGAAATTTCGATAGAAATATCGGGATATTATGGATATTTTAGACCATGCTTCGGATGCATAGAATAATAATCCAATACAACTAGGTTACAAGCTCCTTGTACGTTTGTTCTACTGTGAACACAAAAAACTTGGAGATCTTTTACTCACTTGTTAAAAAATATGATAAATCATACATGTACCTTACTAGAATGTAGACCAAGTAGCCATTAGCCACTTTCAGTGAAGTAGAAACGAAGAACATAATGGACGAAGTTTGTTTGTGGCTGAGCAGAATCCTTGCGTTATCGTTGCAGTGTTTCCTTAGCCTCGCCTCCTTCACGGATTCATGATGGCAGATAATTTAGGATCACAAAAAAGGCAAATGTGACTTACTCAGCTGGTTAACGCAGTGTGTGTGTCTGCCTTTTCGGGCCAAGTCAGTCAGCCATTTCGAGTTCACATCTTTAAGCATGTTAATAAAAGGTTTTCTTATTCATTAAGGTTAAGAAAAAAGAAATTTTATTTAAACTCATGTAACCTATTTCTACACCCAACTTACTCTTTGCACCCATTTTATTTCTAACTAAACTATTAATATCTCTTTAAACCTAATTTAATACCTAATATATCCCCATAAACCCAATTCAATATGTGGATTTATTTTTACACTCATTTGATTTTTAACTCTATCTTTACGCCGTCTGAAAATGGAGACTGAGAATTGGGATGTGAATTCAGCCATGGCTGACAACAAGACTGACACTTCTATAGATGTGGACAATATTTTGAAATCTTCTCCAAGCATGATTCTTAGACAAATCCTGCATAGACATCAAACTCTCATAATTGACCCCTTCAATGGCTTCCGTAAAAGCATTCTTCTTAACATCATCATATATTTCCTCTCCTTGCTTGATTTATAGGTGAAGATAGGTTATGCATTGTGTCTTGAAAGCGAATCATTTGATTAGGTTCCACGGTAATCTAAAGAGTATATGTTGAATCTGATTTTATTCTCATAGGAAGCCCTTGCTCAATGTCTTATGGTACTCTCAGAAGGATTTGTTTACCCTATGCAATTTCTAAAGTAAGAAATGTTATACATTTTTCGGCGGAGGCCTAATTGGCATGGTACCGAAGAACAACTAGGATATAAATTGCACGAGGAAAGACAGTAAAAGCTCTGGGGAGCAGTTGTGTAAGTATTTCAATCGTGTGCAGTTGTAAATTGAAATAAATCAATCTGCTTATCTAAAAAAACTTCAAAATCATAAATTGGTTGGAGGATTCAAAATTTCATAATCACCATCCATAAATAGAAAAACTTGTTTTTCTCCATGAGAGCTATTAGGGTTTTAGCCAAAATGAAGTAGGATAAACAAAGAATGATCGTAGGGTTTAAGTATAATGTTTGGGTTTATTGATAAATTTGAATTTTATTATTAATTTTATTTTGTACTTAATAGTAATTATGCAAT